TGGTCAAACATATTCTCTTCTTTGAACTAAAGAATACAAAGCTTTGTGGAAAAAAACAATTATTTTATTAGATTTAAAAGGTTGTCAATTAATTTTATGTTTAATATTGTGAAATTATAGAGTAGTATATTTGCATGTGATTTTTAGATATAATCGAGCGAAGTAAGTATCAGAAAGATGTATATATATGTGAAAAGATGATCAAAATTTTTGTATAATAATTTGAAAGTAGATTAATGTACATTTTGGCTTAGTTAAACTTTTTTTTTTAGAGTTAATGCATGTTTTTGCAAATATGAAGGGTAAAGTTTAACATTTTTGTAAAATAATTTGATGTGTAATTTTGTTATATTTTTTGTTTATGTAAATAGTATCCACATGAACTATATATTATATTAGAAATCTATTGTCTAAATTTGGACATCTTATGTTATAATGCTATTTTTTTAGTGAACACCATGAGTATTTTTTTATATTTTCAAAAACATTTTGCATAAGCTTCCCTTTCGCTATGATTTAAAAAAAAAAAATCAATCTTTACTCCATTTTTGTTTCAGATTGTATCTTAGGATTTTGTTTTTAATTTTCATATAGTATGCATTTCTCTACTTATCAATTTTTTAACATTCAGTATGTACATAGATGTTTTATAATTAGTTCATATATTCAACGAAGAAAACAAATGGCAATTAATAATAAACTTCTTTATTATATGAGTTCTTTATTAATTAATATAATATTTGTTTGATAGTTTAGCTAGCTCATTCATTTGCCAATATTGGTGAAGAGTGTAGAATTTATCGTTATATGTTATTTGAAAAAAAATCTTTTCAGTTTTATGTTTCATGAAACTTTACAAATAAAAATTAAGAAACGGTGAGTAACTGTCTTTAATCACCGGTTCTTTAGTTAGGTTTTTACTTCAGTTTTTCGACAATGTCGGATTACAACGAACAATATGGAACTCTATATCAGCTTTAGAAACTTGAAATCTGTTATAAGTCAAAAAGTTACAATTGTATAAATTAATTTTCTCTAGACGAAAAAAAACTGAATCGCTCCTTAAGTTTTACTTTTGGCGAGAAAGACGTTCTCCAGTTCCAACAATACTATGATTCAGACTCATTCTACTTGATTCACATTATAAATATAAATTCAAAACAGTTGCGAGATTGTATTTTTATGTTGCTTACAACAATCTTAAGCATGAGACACATTAGACTTCATTTATGATAGAGTTGTGTATTATTTATACCATATGTGGCTCATCGCTATGTTTTTTTTATTTTACATCCTCATTGCTATGTCTTTTGGATTTCCAAATGTTTATGCTCTACTTATTTAAGTTTTATTGTTTATCACCAGTTTGGTTGTCATTAATTAATAAGTAAGATTTGTGTTTAGTAACGGCTGATTATGTTTCTGATGAGTCAGAGGCGAGATGATTAGAAACCGAGAAGACGATGACTCCATAAAATAAGCTTTTGTTTAAGTTATATAATTGAGTTTTAATGTAATTCGTTTTCAGTTTTTTTTAGCTTTGTTATTTTTATTGAGAATTTAAGAATTATAAAAGTTTTTTTAAGTAAAATTTGAAGAAATTTTGATTAAGAAATTATTTAATGAGATGGCTTTAAATTATTGGTTGGAGAAGATGACATAATAGTTTTGAAATCCACTATTGGTTAATTATTTTTGCTGATATGACATATTGTCTTATTCTTATTGGTTAGTTTTTTTTTTAATTTAACGATGTGGCAATTTGTTATATTCTTATTGGCTGATTATTTTTGCCTATGTGGTACCTCTTAAAGAGCAGGAAATATATCCCTTTTATATAAAGGAGATAACCAGATGGTCATTAACCATGTTACCATCTCAAATTTCTATTTCTCCTTTTTTCATTGTTAGTATTCACGAAGGTTAAATTGGCTTAAAAGAAATGATGAGAACCTTTTGAAACTTAAGGAGTATCACTCCTATTCCTATTACTCTTTCTTTTCTTATCTTGTTCATTTCTAATCTTGAGGGTGTGTTTGCTGCTTCTAGTAGACACTTGTGTAATCACAAACAAAGGGATGCACTTCTTGAGTTCAAGAACGAGTTTGAAATTAAGAAGCATTGTTCTGACGGCATTCGTCTCAAGACTGAGTCATGGGTGAACAATAGTGACTGCTGTCATTGGGATGGTATCACATGCGATGCCAAGTCTAGAGAAGTGATTGAGATAGACCTTACCCGCAGCTGCCTCCATGGTCGACTTCATTCAAATAACAGTCTTTTTAAGGTTCAAAGATTTCGTTTTCTAACCACTCTTGACCTTTCATATAATTACTTTAGAGGTTAAATCCTATCTTCTATTGCAAATTTTTCTCATCTTACCATTCTTGACCTTTCTAGAAATTATTTTAGTGGTAGGGTTCTTTCTTCAGTTGAAAATCTTTCACATCTCACCATTCTCGAGCTTTCTGGTAATGATTTCATTGGTGAAATGCCATATTTTGGCAATATGCACCAGTTGAGATTCTTAAACGTTGAGTCTAATGAGTTTAGTGGTAATTTCCCTATTTCTGTACTAAATCTTGAAAACCTCTCGGATTTATATCTCTCCCACAATCAATTTACTGGCACGTTTCCTTCTAACATGAGTTCTGTGTTCAACTTATAGTACTTTCAAGCATGGGACAACTCTTTCATTGGAACTCTTCCTTCTTCTCTCTTCACCATTCCTTCTTTGAATTACATTGATTTGAGACAAAACCAACTCAGTGGCACTCTTGAGATTAGGAATATATCTTTACCATCTAATCTAACAGTGTTAGACATCGGTAATAACAACTTCATAGGGCCAATCCCAAAATCCATTTCCAAGTTACTAAACCTTCAAGACCTTGACCTTTCCTATTTCAACACACAAGGCCCTGTTGACTTTAGTATCTTCTTGAATCTCAAGTCCCTCCAACTTCTTAACCAATCCCATTTAAACACCACCACTACCATTGACTTGAATGTAATCTTACACTCGCATCTCAAGTCAATTTATTCATTGAATCTCTCAGGAAACCATGTTTCAACCACAAAGAAAAGTTTTGTTGCGGATCATCATTCGATATTGATAAATCAGTTGTACTTATCAAGATGCGGTATCACCGAATTTCCAGAGCTCTTGAGAACCCAACACAAACTGACGAACCTAGACATTTCCAACAACAAAATCAAAGGTCACGTTCCTGGTTGGCTATGGACACTACCATTGTTGAAATTTGTGGATCTATCCAACAACTCTTTCATCGGTTTTGAAAGATCAACCAAACTTGGACGATCTATGCAGTTCTTGGTTGGCTCCAATAACAATTTCACGGGCAAGATTCCTTCATTCATATGTGCGCTGCGCTCCCTAGTCACTCTTGATTTATCTAACAATAACCTCAATGGTTCAATCCCTCATTGCATGGGAAATCTCAAGAGTACTCTTTCATTTCTAAACCTTCGCCAGAACCGTCTTGTTGGAGCTGTTCCAGAGAATACATTTGAAATTCTTAAGTCGCTTGACGTCAGCCATAACCAACTTATTGGAAAACTCCCAATATCTTTGATCAGTTTCTCCAATCTTGAAGTTCTGAATGTGGAAAACAACAGAATCAATGACACCTTTCCCTTCTGGTTGAGCTCGCTCAAACATCTGCAAGTTCTTGTCTTGCGCTCCAACACTTTTCACGGACCGATACATCAAGCCTCGTTTCGTACGTTGCGAATCATCGACTTATCGCATAACCACTTCCATAGAGCTTTGCCATTAAACTACTTTGTGAACTGGAGTGCTATGTCATCACTTAAGGCGAACCAAGATAGGTCTAAGTCTAACCAAAAGTACATGAGAGATTTTTTAGGCTATTACCAAGATTCAATGGTTCTGATGAGTAAAGGCACAGAGATGAAGCTGGAACGTATACTGAAAATCTACACAGCACTCGACTTCTCAGGAAACAAGCTTGAAGGAGAGATCCCAAGGTCCATCAGTCTACTAAAAGAACTCCATGTGCTCAACTTATCAAGCAATGCTTTCACCGGCCACATCTCATCATCTATGGGAAACTTGACGTCTCTCGAGTCATTGAACGTTTCCCAAAACAAGCTTTCGGGAGAGATTCCACAAGAGTTAGGGAACCTCTCGTTTCTTGCTTACATGAACTTCTCTCATAATCAGCTTGTAGGTCTAGTACAAGGAGGCACTCAGTTCCGAAGACAAAACTGCTCTTCTTTCGAGGAAAACTCGGGACTTTTCGGCCCATCTCTTGATGAAAACTGTGGAGATATCCATAAAACTGCACCCCCACAATAATATGAAACGTCAGAACCAGAGGAAGAAAACCAAGAGGTTTTGAGTTTGATAGCAGCTGCAGTAGGATTCGGTTCTGGTATTTTCTTTGGATCTACGATTGGATACATACTGATTTCCAACAAACCAGAGTGATTCGTGAAGCTGTTTGGCCGAAACAAACGCCGGAGCACCACAACTCATTAGAGACGTAATGTTCTGAACTTTATTATAATGAAATTGTATGGATGAATGAATAAAATGAGACATTGATGTGCATCATATATGGTGATCGAAGATGAGATTTAACAACTCTTTTCACATTCATTGGTTTCTGATCAAAATAATGTTCATTTCTTTGATGTGCATTATACACATCTCATTACCGTACTAGAACCTAAAAGTCTTTATTTCGGTTACAAGTACTGTAATTAAAATTCTCTATATGAATTATGAGCCTTGCTAATACCTCCACTACTATATAGTTACAAAACCCTAATCGCTTCACGAAAGTAATTTAATTCCAAATGAAAAAAAAAACAGACAAAAAACATAAATAATTATCGAAACTTTTGATTATTTTTCACCTAATCTCCACAAATTTACGTCTCTAAAATATTATATAATTATCAAAACTTTCGATTAGTTTTTTGATTATTTTTTACAAAGTATATAACATCTCCACGAATTTACGTCTCTCCTTCCCCCTCGTGTCCCCTTTTGCTTCTCCTCCATCTCTCCCTCCTTTGAACCAGTCAAATCGATTTTTAACCTCCTCGTCCTTCTCCCTTTGACTCCTCTTTGAAATTCTAGTCGCTTTCCCTATCCATCGATTTAGGGTTTTCAATTTCGTTTCCCCAGCTTTTCTCTCGCTTTCCTCACTTTTTCCCCTTCTTCTTTCGGCTCCTTTTTCCTTTCCCCAAATATGACTCCTTTTCCTGTTAGATTCCGGAATTACCATGATCTGTGCGTTTGAGCAGATCTCAATCTCATAATTATCCTCGGATATATATATATATATATATTATTTCTTTGCTGTTGTGCTTGGATCGCCTAGGGTTCTCTAGTGTTAACCATGGTGGGTACTCAAAGCTTGGAAACTCTAAAAAGCTATGGAATCACGAAGCCTCTTTCTGTTGCTGGCCCTTCCGCGGCTGATTTGAAGCGTAATTTGGAGCTGGAGAAGGTAAGCTTTGTGTTTGCGCTGAACAAAGTGTTTTTGATCTATGTTTTTGGCTCAATTTGAATTTCTTTTTTTGTTATCCGAAGTTTCTGATTGATGAGGGGCTTTACGAGAGCAAGGAAGAAACCATGAGGAGAGAGGAAGTTTTGGGGCGCATTGATCAGGTGAATAAAGCGTGTTTTGCTTATTCAATTGGCCCAAGTTTTTCTTAAACTTTCAGAGTTTTTGCATATTTGTTCATGATTGTGAAATTTGAGATCAGTTTGTTTGAGGGGTGATGTGTATCCTTTCTGGTTTCTATACATCTTCGCCCTCAAACTTGTTATATAGATTGTTAAACACTGGGTGAAAGAGTTAACTCGTCAGAGAGGATATACAGATCACATGGTGGAGGATGCAAATGCTGTCATATTCACATTTGGATCTTACCGCCTTGGAGTAAGTGCTTTAAGGTTTAGAGTTTAAGTTCAGTTGAATATTATCATTGAACGATCATTCTAGTCAAAGGAAAATTAGCATTGTATTCGTCTCTGCGTTACTAGTCTTTTGAGTGTGAAAAGGGTTGATTTTGTTGACTTGCAGGTACACGGACCTGGGGCTGATATTGATACTTTGTGTGTTGGCCCATCTTACGTTAACCGAGAGGTGACTGTTGAATCACGTCTTACTGATGTTAAGGTCTGGCATCAAGTTTAAGTTTCTAACAGGTTACGTTTATAGGAGGATTTCTTCATCATTTTGCGTGATATATTGGCTGAGATGGAAGAAGTGACTGAGCTTCAACCTGTTACTGATGCCCATGTCCCAGTCATGAAGTTTAAGTTCCAAGGAATATCAATTGATCTTCTGTATGCTAGCATATCACTTCTAGTCGTGCCTCAGGTAATATCAATATAGCCAGTTTCAGTTTCCGCTGAAAGTTAAGGGTGTTTAGTTAGTGATACCTTTATGCTATCTTGGATTTAGTTTGGTGGGTTTGGTGCCTGTATTGCATGTTAATGTTCACGTATCCTCCAAGGGCTGAGATATCAAAAAAACTTATTTTCAGAATATGTAGGACTGCCATTTTTAGAATCTTCCGTCTTGATTTATATATGTACTGAGCTGAGTTCTCGCCAAACTTCATATTTTTCTTGCTGAGTCAGATCCCTTGTTTTGTTGGATTGAATTTTCAATAGGATCTGGATATCTCCAGCTCTTCTGTGCTGTGTGATGTCGATGAGCAAACTGTCCGCAGTCTTAATGGTTGTAGAGTTGCTGATCAGATTCTTAAACTCGTTCCAAATTTTGAGGTAAACTCGTTGAATGCCAGTTTTTTTTTTGTTAAGAGACTAACAATTCTGTAAGCCATTTCTGACATTTATGTGCAAATGTAGCACTTCCGTACAACATTAAGATGCATGAAGTACTGGGCTAAGAAGCGTGGGGTCTATTCAAATGTAAGGTGGTGTCTTTCTGAATATATCATTTGCTGACAAAACGTCAAGCTCTTGTCATATCTATTATTTTGAGCAGGTTACTGGATTTCTTGGTGGTGTAAACTGGGCACTTTTGGTTACACGCCTGTGCCAGCTTTATCCAAATGCTATTCCTAGTATGTTAGTCTCTCGATTTTTTAGAGTATATACACAATGGCGCTGGCCGAATCCAGTCATGCTTTGTGCAATCGAAGAGAATGAGCTTGGGATTCCTGTTTGGGACCCCCGAAAAAATCACCGTGACCGCTATCATCTTATGCCGATAATAACTCCTGCGTACCCATGCATGAATTCTAGTTACAATGTCTCTCAAAGCACTCTTCGTGTTATGACGGAGCAATTCCAGTATGGTAACAAGATCTGTCAGGTTAGGGAGCAGAACATCTGAATTGTTTTATGAACAGTTTACCCAGGATCCTGTTGCTAAGAACCATTTTGTATGCAGGAGATCGAGTTGAAGAAACAACACTGGAGCTCCTTATTTGAGCAATATATGTTCTTCGAGGCATATAAAAACTACCTTCAGGTTGATGTACTAGCAGTAGATGCAGAAGATTTACTGGCTTGGAAGGGTTGGGTGGAGTCACGGTTCAGGCAGCTGACCTTGAAGGTAGATACCCTTATATTCATTTGACGTTCAGGATTAAACATTCCGTGTCTTCAGTGTGTTCTCCAAGTTTTATTGGTAGGAAACACAATCATTGAATGGTTCTTATTGGTTCTTATTCTCCTCTGTTTTTTTCCCCGATAATGCAGATAGAACGAGACACAAATGGGATGTTAATGTGCCATCCTCAACCAAATGAGTATGTGGACACTTCCAAGCAGTTTCGACATTGTGCCTTTTTCATGGGCTTGCAGAGGGCAGAAGGAGTTGGTGGCCAAGAATGTCAACAGTTTGATATACGTGGAACGGTGGATGAGTTCAGGCAAGAGGTAAACATGTATATGTTTTGGAGACCTGGGATGGACGTGTTTGTTTCTCACGTTCGTAGGCGGCAGCTTCCACCTTTTGTTTTTCCAAACGGATATAAAAGGCCTCGGCAATCCAGGCATCAGAATCAACAATCCGGAGAAGCTGGTGAGCCCGTTGAATCTTTTTCCGCCAATGCTGAGAGACATGCAAAGAGAAAGAACGACAATGAAATGATGGATACCAAGCCCGAGAAACCTGAGAAGCGTGCATCTCTTAGTCCACATAGTGTAGATGCAACTTCTCCTGACAGTAGTGCTATCACAATTGGTGGGACTCCTCCGATTGGCATTGTGTCAGGTCCTACAGCCGAATGCTTAGTAACTAGTGATCTTGGTTGTACCACCATTCCTTATGTGGAAGCTGGAGCCGAAAATTTTGTCAGTAAAAGCACTGAAATCATAAGATTTTCTCAAAATGTGCATAACTCTGGTAGCGAGCAAATCCTGGAAGGAGATTATAGGGCTCTAGTTCAAGGCTGTCATGACCTGGCTGAGCCTGTAGGAAAGGATGTGAGACCTGATCCTAGTGTTGTGGTAGCATGTGAAGGTGGGCAGAATGAAGAAACAGGTCATGGTGTAGGCCCTGAATCCATCAATGATACTGATACAAAACATCGACTTGATCGGAAAGAGGACGTCGATGAAGTTGAGAGAGAATCTAGGTCGGGAGAATTTGCTGATTGTGTGTTGCGGAATGGATACTGTGTGAGGAACCTTGATCATGAGGTGAGTTCTTCCTGTCCGATGATGATTGTATAAGAACTGTAACAAACTGGGAAAAATATGTCTTGTATGCACTGGACATAGTGATCATGGCTTGTTACAGGGTTTTTTGACAGCTGCAAGTTTGGATTCAGCTGTGGAACATAGAAACTTTCAAAAGTGGTTTGTCAGAAGAACTTCAGGTTTTTTATTCTAACTCATGTCATTTGGCATAAGGTTTATTCTCCTGTAGGATTTTTCGCGTTTGGTAGCTGGTTTGAGATTGATTATTTATGACATTGGTTGAGTGTCAGTGTGACCACCCAGTGCATGACATGTTGAAGGGTGATCTTTTGCTTTAGTTTAGAATAAAGGAACATGATGTAATTAGCTTAAATTAGAATGTTGTGGTAATTTATGTTGCTGTAGATTTCTGTTGCAATAACTTATTGTACTTTGTTTCTGCTTACATCCTAACTAGTGCGGCACTGCTTTATTGTATATATTCGCTGTTTTCATATGAGACTAGATGCTTTTCTCTTTCCCTCATTTCACTTCTGACTTCTCTCTTTGCTTGTAATTTTTCTGTGTCTTAGTCAAACCCTTTGCTCAGCGGGATGGGGAGGCCTGAAGACGGAGCTAGGTCAGAATCTTTGCAGAATGCACTGATGAGGCATGTGTTTTTTGCAACCCATTATTAATTTATTCCGATCATGATCTCTTTATGCTCTTGTTTTGGTGTTTTCTTGGTGCTCTGTAGCAGCAGCAGGTTGAGCTTGAAGTCCATAGTGTGAGCGAGGTATCTCAGCAATTGTAATGAGAGCCTGCAAGTCAAGAAAAAGGAAAAAAAAAAGATGAAAAGTCAAAAACAAATAAGACGAATCAGAGCACCCTGGTGTTTGCTTTGAACGACAGCTTCAAGAACTCGGCACTAGTGGTAAGTACACCTAAATCTGAAAACGAAAAGCCTAAAAAGTAAAAAAAAAAAAAAAGTTTATGAAAAATCCAAAAAAAGAAGATAAAAAATTGAAAAAAAAGAGAGGAAGATAACATCTTTCAAATGATTTTGTTTTTTCGAAACTTGGTGGGATCTTGTGAGTAGCCAAACTCTAAGAAGAGTGAGCTTGGATAACGAGTTTGGGACGCAAAAGCCCATATACGTTGTTCGATACTGTGCACAACGAAGTTGGGAGAGAGAGGTGGAGTATGTGCTTGTTCAATGCTTTTTGTCTGAGAGTTGCAAATTTCAGAGACGAGATCGGTGAGCCATGGAAGAAGGCAAGTGAATTATATGTTTCTGCCTTTTTTTTGTATTTTATTTGCTTTCGGATCTTTCAATGTTATATGATTCTGTGCATAAAAATGTCTCCTTCTTTCTTGTTTCTGCTCACTTCTTTTATAAAGACCATTATTACTAATCACCAAAATGTCATCTGAATATGTCTTCTGGTTTATGCGACTATGCGACTATGGTGATGAACGAGTTCTTACTTTTTTTTTTTTTCAGTATTTGTAATTTCCTTTTAATTGGTCGAGTCTTTTGTTCTTTTAACTTCGACCTTTAGACATCAGTAGGCATCATTCCTGGGATAGAATCTCATCGGCTGTTTCAAACTGTGAAGTGTGACTTCTTTTTTCTTAAAACATACTTCACACAATGGGTTTGTCCTTTAGTCTAGTGGCAACTGAAAATGTTTTTTTATAATAAACATGAGTGCAAAATCTTAAACAAATTGGCCTACTTTTTTTTTAGTTGCTGTTTTCTAAAACTCAAGACTAACTCTGCCCCGACAATTGAAGCACAAAGCAATCAATTCTTAAACCAAGGATATAAGAGTCTTGTCTATTTATCAAGGGTCGAACCATTATCCACCTCATCTAAAACTGTCATTTGAACCCGAGTTTTCGTTTCCAATAATATTTATTTCAAACACACTTTTTTTTATTGCATTTACATTAAAAAAAAACATAAAAATATAGGATAATTTTTATATTTACCACATAATTATGTTTAGTAGACAAAAATAATAGAAATCCTACATAAGTTTCACTCCTAAACGTACTTTTTTATTGCATATACATAAAAAAGCATATAAATATGGATTATTTTGTTATATAACTATAATAACAAAAGAATAAAAAATATAGCTATGCTATTTGAATAATTGGTAAACTAACTATATTCCACAATCAATTATCGAATATAACTTTTTACTATATTATATTTTACACTATACTATGTATAGTTTTATAAAATAGTTTTTATTTGATATAATATTAATAAAAAAAAGTTGGTTGTAAAGAGAAAAAGAGAGAGAAGAAGACGGAAGAGAAGAGGGGATGAGGGTAGGGGAGGAGAGGGGAGGAGAGGGGAAGAGGAGGGGAAAGAGAAGGGGAAGTGGAAAGGGAAGACATAGAAGGAGTGGGACGATGAGAAGAAGGGAGGGGAAGAAGATAAAAGAGAAATGATATTTTTGTATATATAGTAAAATATACAGAAAATATCATAGCATCTATTTATTATGGTTATTTGATGAATTTATGACATTTATATAGTTATACCACCCAATTTCTCTATAAATATAGGATAATTTTTATATTTACCACATAATTAGGTTTAGTAGACAAAAATAATAGAAATCCTACATAAGTTTCACTCCTAATATTTTCTAGTAACATTCTTCCGAATTTACTTCTGTTTCATAAAACACGAAAACCACCAAAAAACAATAACGGCGACGGCGAAGATGATAATGACAGCGAAGACGAATTTTTACAATCTTTGGATTTTCTGTTGACGAATATAATCTTTATATACAAATGTAGTTTTCATAAAATTGATTTTTTTCTATAATGATTTAGCATTTTTGAGTGATTTAGGATATAATTTAGTTTCTATTATGGGATTTGAACCTAGATTTTGAAGGGGAAAGCTTCAAGTTCAATTTTAATAAAAGAATTTTAGATTTTCAGGTTATCGGAAAAAGTGATTTTAGAAATGGTGACTCTAAAAGTTGATAAATTACCTCAAATAACACAATGATTGGTTTAACTTAAATGTGAAATGTTACTAACAATTTAGGAAGTATTTTTAAATTTCAGGAATAATTCATAATAGTTTGTGTGGAAGTCCGACCCGGCTAACTAAACCGCAGCCTTGTTTTCACTACATCCTAACAGTTCGGTCTATACTTAGCCAAATTTTAATCTTTTTCCTTCCATTCAACAATACACAGCGGATTCAAAACAACTTCATTTCATTCCATTAAACTTGAATAAAACACTTAAATAAGATTCAGGGTTAACTGAAAACAAATCACAATGGTTCACCAATGAATACAACTGATCATCTAGCAACCTAAACGGTCAAACACCAAAGCCATAAGACCAAAACACAAGTCTTAAACATAAATAAAACACCCAATCCCCGATCCATCCATGTTCATCACTGCCGCCGGTCTCGCTCCCTTTACTGCTTAGTACCTGCACACTCAAGAAGAGAGGCATAAGTATTTGATAAAAAATACTTAGTGAGCACGGTCATCCCGTAACACCTGGTCAGTACCATTCACGCATTCATACTTTCGGATTCAACATCCTACACAATCAATTTGCAATAGACATAACATATATCAAACGGCCATGATCATCTAACCTAACCACCCAAGATTTATCCCTTTTAAGATCCATGTCTACTTCAGCGAGAATCCCACATCCCCTAAGCTAGTACATGATCCGGATTACCCTGAGGTTAGCTAGACATCATCTATGCCACGGTAAACACCTCACAAAACCTTAAAATACAACCGCTTATCAGTTCTAAACACACAACATGAAAATCACACAATCAAACATGCTAAACATTCAACCCTAGCAATCCAACGATCCTAGACACCAACCACAGTCACGCATTCACCTTAGACAAGGTTGGAAACAGATTGGTCAGAAGAAATTCGGATGAAATCCGCACTAAATCGAAGATATATGATCACCCTAGGAATCTCTCGGCTAACAGTACGATCCGATCCCTTTCCCTTCAGCTATCTCTCGATCCGTTCACCTTTCTCTGAGCCAAACTCTGTTGACCCTCGGAAACCCCACAAAACACGACTATTAGCTCGAGGTTATCCGATGGAAACTCGATACAAAGGAAAATATCCAATCGTTTATCAGTTTATCTCGGCGATGGTCAGATCCGTACGGCGATCCTTCAATCTCTCTCGGTTATCCTTGGGATAAACTCCCTTTTCTAGGGTTTTCTCTCGACTAAACTCTCTCTTTGCTTTATTTATCTAAAATAAACGCAACACCTCCGAGCTAAGTCTAAAAACACCTTATATACTCGCAAAACCCTAAGTAACTCGGTCTAAACTGACATTTCCCAGTTCTAGTAGGAGTTATCCGATCCGATTAGATATTTCACGGCTATCACCCGTATCAGACTCTACCATCTGCGTGATAACCGCGTATAAGCCGACCTAACATCCTTGGCCGAAGGCCCAGTCCATTTTCTCTCGGACAATTTTCTTTTCTCTCGGATAAACCGCCCTTATCCGAGTTATTTCCCTTCTGTCCGGCCATTTTCTATTTTTCACCTGGATATTCTCACATCCTGGGCTATCTTTCCATTTTCTCTCGGACACAGTCCACTGTCACTCAGACTAACCCCACTCTCACTCGGATTAATCCCATTTTCTCACGGACTGGACCATTTTCTCTCGGATATGGTCCATCCGGCTCGGCTAGCCCAGCCATCCATCCGACTATTTCCCAGTCATCACCTGACCATAGTATGAACCTCCATTTCCCAGCCAATATCCAACCCTTGGCTCGATCATTCCTCGGATAATGCCCTGTCCGGCTCGATCATTCCGAATTTTCTCGGATACGGATGTTACAACTCTCCCCCACCCGTTTTGGATTCGTCCTCGAATCCGACTCGTCCGTTTGCAATTTATCAAACCATTTGGGATACTCGGCTTTCATCCTAGCCTCCTTTTCCCAAGTAACCTGTTCATGCCCGTCACAGTTCCATACGACCTGAACCATTCTAACCAGCTTTCCACGCTTAGTCTCTTCTTTCCTGCCTATCACCTGAACCGGCCTAGCCACTACTGCAAGGTCCTCTTGCAAGTCTGCTGGCGGTTCCTCTATAACCGTTTCACGTTCGGTTATATGCTTTCTCAGCTGCGACACATGGAATACATTATGGAACGCTCCCATTTCCGATGGCAAGTCCAACTTGTAAGTCTGCACCAACTCTTTCTAGTATCCGGTACGGTCCCATTGATATGATCCCTCTTATGATCTTGACCTTACAAACCAAGTGATGAACGTATTGATCCGTGATGATGAGATAGCTTGAAAGTTTTGATAAAAATGAATCGTTTGTGGGGGAAAAGGGGGAAGAGTGAGAAATTTTAAAGAGAAATTTTATTAAAAAGATAGATGAAAACCAAACACAACCACACACACGATTTTAAGGAGAAAGAAGAGAAAGAGGAGAACAGACAACAAGAAAGCATTAAGTTAGTCTTGGGATAAACCCCCTTGACTAACCATGCATGACTCGGTTCAAACTTACACAAAATACAAGAATAAGTAAACAACTTAGGATAGAAAATGAATCTAGATATTCCAAGCCGCGGATGGTAGAAAGAAGTGGGCTTGGACAAATGATAAGTTAATGGGCAATGATGTTGTAGAAACACTTGCCTTGTTAAAAACCTTAGTAAGAAAACCCAATGGGACAAAACTTACTAAGGGAAAAAGAGCACAAAATGATTCTACAAACCCCTTAACTAGTCATCGGCTATAATGCATATCAAAGCAGTATGTATAGCCTTTTTATTATCATATGTTTCATGAATGGACTGATTAAGCAATACTTCTAAGGCATTATGAAATGCCTTAGCCTTTGAACGGGTCATGGGACCTTCATGAACCTCTAGAATGTCATCAGCTACATGTTTGTTTAGATCTTGTTCCTCCTCGGCTGCAAGCTCACCAATATCTTCCATGATCATATCATCCCCTTCTTCTTGAAAAGGATTTGACCTCAAATCCAACTCATCTGCAACATAGGGAATTAAATCAGTAACATTAAAACTATAACTTATAGAATACTTACCTTGGAGGTCAAGCTGATAGACATTGTCATTGAACCTCCTTGTGACGGTGAAAGGACCATCAATCTTTGGCATCAACTTGGATTTTCTTTCGGCTGGGAAGCGTTCCTTTCTCAAATGTACCCATACTGGATCACCAGCTTTAAAAACCATTTTGCTCCTTCCTTTATTTGCATGTTTGGCATAAAGCTTAGTCTTCTCTTCCAAGTTCTTCTTAGCATCCGAGTGTATAAGCTTTATTAAATCGGCCTTTTTCTTTCCATCCATACTCAACCTTTCACTCAAAGGTAAATGCATCAAATCCAAAGGAGAGGTGGGATTGAACCCATAAACAATTTGAAACGGTGAGTATTTAGAAGCAGAA